CATCCAGCCCTACAGACCCCTCCCTGTTCAGGGTCCGCTGGCAGGGGAGTTAGCATGGCCTGGACTGCTGACGGGGGTCATGGGGAAGGACAGAAAGAATTGTGGAGGCTTTATCAAAGCCCTAGGCTGTACTAGCTTTTATTGGCATAGTATATCAGTCAACATACTATATTAGTAGATTCATAAAAGTAAATGTTAGACCTGACAGTTTGGGATTTGAGGAGTTGTCTTAAGATTCCAATCAAAACGAGCTGGCCAAGGTTTTACTGAACTTAGAGTGATTCATCTTATGCTTGCTTGCAGCTATACTGGCCAAAATGAGCCATTTTAAAAAACAAAATTAGCAAGAGCAATGTTAGCAAATAAGACGGCTAACAGAAACAGAAAACTGTGTCCCCCAATACTTTCAGTATACCCATGACAGAGGGACGACTAAAAAAGAAGATGAATTTTTCATCTGAAAAATCTAGGGCACATCTTTAGCACCAAGAAGAGAAGAAAGTAGGAAGATCCACCTCGACTGTGAAGCTGCAGAGATTACACAGCTTGTTCTCGTCTGACCAAGCAAGGCCAATCCATCATACCTCTGCTCCCCCCGTGTTACAGCCTGGAACTTCCTCATTACTGGAACAACTGCCTGCACATACTCGCACACAAGGAGCCTCCAGAAACTAGTCTAGGTTGGGGGCGGTTATATGTGAAAATGACTGAGTCAGAGCTTCCACCTGGGACTGATGTGTCCCCATCTGACACCCCTGTAAATGACCTCACAGTGTCTGTCAGGAGAACCCTCACAGCATAATATGATACATTAGGCTGTGGGTAATCATGTGCACAAAGCCAGTAATGGCTCCTAGAACAATAAGCACTATGGCTAAAACACATTTGTATGAATCAAAATGACAAGAGGGAAGAATCTTCTTTAACAGTAGCATCATGTTGTTTCTGGACAGTGATGTACACAAAAGAAAGAATTCTGAAGCTGTGCTCTTGAACTCAGGTGAGTAGGTCAGATCTGTGATAATGCCTCTCCTTTCATGAGAACAAATGCGAGCAGTAAAAGGACAGAAGGGACAAGGATCTAAGTAAATGGAGAGGTAGGAGGAGAAGGAGCCAAATGGAGTGAAATGGACTCTCTGCACAGCTACCTTCATAGTCTATTGGCAAAAAAGTACAACAAAAGGGGAGGCTGGCGTTGTGGCCTTCCACAGTTAGTCAGCACATTCCTGGCCAACAACAAAGCATGCCTCTGCCTGGATGAGCCACTGTGAGCATTGTCATTTCATAACCTTCGACCCTTCAGTCTTTGTTTTGGAGACCCTCTGTGTCAGTGGATAAAAATGTGGGCTGAGGGGATGGACTGGGCCTTTCAGCGCTATTTCATCAAAAGCAGACAGACACATCGGGGTCCTTTCAGAAACAGAGAAACCCTCTCCGGACTTGGTTTTCATCTTTGACTCATTACAAATATGATTCAAAAATAGCCCGAGTGAAGGCAGGCGGCGTGACATTCTGTTACGGTGCATTTCCCAGGACTCATCATATTGAAATCATGTCCTCGGGGTAAAGCTGAATTAACATTTCCTCATGACTGGGGTATAAAGCAGAGGACAAACAAGATGAGATCAGACACAAACGAGAATGACTTGGGGTAATAGGGTTCCCCCTGGGAGAGGCAGCAACGCCAGCACAGAGCGTCCAGCAGTGACTGCTAATCTCTCCCGGAGTGGAGCATCAAAGATCAGCTTGGCCACTCAGGCCGGTGGAAACTAACATAGCTAATGGGGCCACCCCGTGCACTTGTTCAGGTGGAGATGTGCAGTGAGTGGGAATGAGAGGCTCATAAAGAGCCAGGAGCAAGAGAGGAAACAGAGGCTGCTGGTGTGGGTCAGCGCCGGCCAATTAAAAGAGGTCTGGACAGATACTAAGAGATCTAAGAGGAAGTTAAGTGCTTTCAGACTGACATACACCTAAATGTGTGTGTGTTTCTGTGTGGAGTCTGCTTGTTCTCGTTGTGCGGCTTCTCCAGCTTCCTCCCACACCCCAAAGAAATGCAGGTTAGGTCGACTGTCTGTAGGTGTGAATGTAAGTGGTTGCTCTGTGACAGACTAGCGGCCTGTCCAGGTGTAGCCCCCCTCTCGCGCAGTGGCGGCTGGGATTAGCTCCGCCCCCAATCCTCTACAGGATAAGTGGTATAGATAATGAAAGGACATCTTAACAAGTAACTGAAGAAATAAGCAACAGATTTCTTTTTTTTTTTTAAAGAACTGCATAAAATAAGTGAAGAGAAACATGAAGAAAGATTTGCAACTGAGGATCAGGGACTGCAGGGCTCCTGATACACCTGATGTTAAGATTCATCACAGCATAGTGGTGAAGAAAGTAGCTGTAATCATCACTTGAAGTCATTCCAGTGTGTTCTCATAGAAGGCATGACAAATTTTGGCTGCATCAGAAAGAGCAGACTGGTGGTGTGGGTGAGAGTGTGTGTGTGGGAGGGGGTGTTAAGCAAGAGAAAGAGAAAAACAGTTGAGTCTGTTCTATTCCGAAAAGGGGAGAAACGCAGCCTCAAAATACTTTGGCTGAGACATGAAAGTGAAACAGTGTGGCGGTTAAGACGACGATAGCACTTAAAATACAGCTGCGACCGCCAAGCCAATAAATGGAAAAAAGTAGGGAGCAGCGCTTTTAACCTTTTTAAAACCAGCATTTGTGTACTGCTACTGTTGCTTTGGCGCTGGGAGTGGCCCAGTCCCTGGCACCTCCCGTCTGCGACCAGCCCATTATGGCCTCTTGGGGTTTCCAGCCTGTGGTGAGAAAGCGCGCTGGATGCCTTAAACCACTAAAGCTCTCATTATAGTCTAAATGCAGTGCGACACAACTCCTGCCAGCTCCAAGGTAGAGGCTCTAGTATTTAAGCTCATCGTTGTCTTAGCTCAAAACCACTACTTTCCCCCTGCACATCCAGGCAGGAAAAAACTGCCACTTTCAAAGAACCACACCATGAAGTCTCCCAGTTAGTTACTGGCACTTCTTCTGCACAGAGATGAAGTTCAAAGGTGAAACAGATTGTGGGTGTTGAGGAAACTTTAGCCTCTCCTTTCTGACACTGCATTCAGGGGATGCTCCGTGTCCCTTCAGACAGGATGTAGGCAAGAGCCAAGTTATTCCCTCTGGGCCTGGGCGACAACACTATGAGTTCCATGTGGTCCTCTCGGTGCCCCTGCCACGTCCCTGCTTCAGCTCCTCACTCACATGTTGACAGCACAGGCCATATGGAAATCAGAGGCAGATGTGCGCTTGTGCAGTGCATCGCAGCTCATCCCGCTGCAGGAAAACGATTTGGTGTCTCAGAGACAATAGAGAGTGATGAGCGGCAGATGGCATTTCCCTTCACATCAAACGCGTTCTAATCGGGAGAGCTGTGTGAGCGCTGTCTGAATGTGAAAAACACTGTGACGAGCAGTGTGACCGAGCATCCTATGCAGCTGAAATTAGATTAGCGGCGCACAGAAGCAGAGAGCTTTCAGCCTGAATCAACTGGCTTTATCAACTTGTGCAAATGTCGGCATCTGTATTCACACCCAGGTGACTCAGCTGTGATTTGGTTGTGCCATCAGTTCCCTGCTCGACAGGCTTCACTCAACGGCAAAGCTGCTGCTAGTATGTGAAAAGGAAGACCGTCAGGACGTTTAAGCTACAGTATGTAAACTATTAAATCAGACCACTGAGGAGTTGCAGTTGCACTAAACTGGAGTTTCTCCACTTAATTTCTCTAGACCCATGAAACTGCCTTTTAAATGTACCAAAACAAATTCAGTCAGTCCAGTGAGGGAGTATTTAAATCTGGGACAAGAGGTAAACATCACCTGCAGGATAAACAGCCGCTGCTGTAGATACACTCTCATCTTAAGGAAATGCCACTGATACACACACAGATTTATTTCTCAACAGGACGATTTAAGGAGACACTCTGCTGTTGAACTGGAGCGACCAGGCGACTAGCTTGGGAAGCCTGGGGTCTCGTACTGTGGCCAGATCGTACTTCCCCACTTAAAGCAGAGTGAGAAGCATATTAACTTAATTTGTTATTTTTGGCCATGGCAGCGTGTGCCACTTTTCACACTCTTAAGGCTGAGCTGAGTACGAGCAGTGTTCGTGGCCTGGTCTTTGTTCAGGAACGTTGCCAAGCACCCCCACCCCTCTTTCCCCTGTATTTGAACCCATACCTGCTCAAGTCTGGCCGTCGTTGTACACATAAGGTAACGCAAACCCCTCAGGGCTCTGTTCAAACAGCAGAAGCAAAGACTAAAAGGCCTCAGAAACCTCAGGCAGAGCAAATCAAACCGCCCTATTCACCAAACACCAGAACGGCTGCAGAGGTCAGAGTGACAGGTGAACACATAACCTACCTACATCCACTACAATGCAGCAGCGATCACCCAACACATTACTGCAGTGCTGTTTCACAAGTACAGAATCTGCAAGTGGGGAATTTAAATTATACTCTTTACGTTGTACGTTTGTCAGTCGTTGTCACTTTCAACTTGTGGTAGAATATATGCTGTAAGAAATTCAAGAAGGTACACTGCTGGATAAACTGCCCCTCATTACAGCCTGACAAAATACAAGCTGACTCTAAGTGGTCAGAAGCTACGTTAGCAAAGAAAGCAAACCTAAATAGAAGTGGTTTTCGACGTAAAGCTGAGGTCCGACAATTCTGTGTGGTTACCGAGTGGCGCCGAATGGCCATCACTCTGTATAAACAGGGGCCATTTTTGTGCTGAGTGTCCCCTCCTTTGATCCCCACATATCATAGTTCTTCCACTGCAAGACTCCATGTTTTCTTTTCAGGAAAACAAACATGCACTGAAAAGATGCTGCTGTGTAGCTGATACAGATGTTGAGGCTCAGTGGCAAAGGAGGGGGAGGGCGCTACTAGCATTCAGCATCAGTTAACAGCAAGAGAAATGTGCAAATGACTCACTGTGTTAACTCACCACATGCACCGGCTCACGGTGGAGTGCTGCAGAAATGCCAGGACACTCTCTCTACAGGTTGCATTATAACCTGTCCTCCCTCCATGAACTGAGCTGATGGAGCTCAGCAGTTTGGTCAGTGTCAGGCCACACTGCAGCAGCTACCGTACTTCATAGGCACTGAGACTTCATTCCTACAGTGACACTGTCATTTTCTTCAGTTGCTATTACAAGCAATCAAACCTTAGAGAACTCCTTTATAATGAGGTGACATCAAGCTGGTCACAAGGGACTGGACCTGTTGGCCAAAACGATCAAAACACACATTTGTCCTCAATTCATTTCACGTTATAGATGCATCCTAAATATGGCTACATGAAGTTACACCTCTTCCAAAGGGAGACCAAACACAAACTAATGGCTTCCAATCCCCCCCATCATGTCAGAAATCAGGAAATAAATCATTATTAATCATGATTTAATGTGTGGCACATGACCAAACTCATGTCCGTGTTACAAACGGTGGCCAGGTAGATTAAACAGGAACTATAAAGTGGGCACAGGAGAGAAGCTTCATGTTTCAGTGACCTCTACTCACAGTTGGATGTCTGACCCATGAGCAGCTCCAGCCCGCTGCACTTGTCATGTTGTGGCCACGGAGGAAAAGATGGGCACGGAGGCTTCTTCCCAATACTTTTGTATATTTGTTTTAAAAGCTTTAAAAAAAGCTGCATGTAGCTTAAACATTCAACATGCAACTCCAAACAGCGACGGCTACAGGCGGCGGGACGCGTGCGTTGTTTACGCATTGGCAACTTACTGTCAATAAAAACAAACATTTCCGACTATTAAAACGAGCTTTTGTGATTTAAAAGGGGGCATTTGTTCAAAACTAACCGATAAACCAGACAAACTCCCCAAAGAGAGCCCAGGTAGTGACCTCGCAGCCTCGTTGTGAAATGCGTGAAGCCTGCTGGGTAAAAGTTTACTAACTTTTTGGAAGCAGTGGAGGTTTCGGTACGTTTGGTTTTTCAGGGAAACCCGTTCCCGACGGTGCGTGTTTGGGGATGGGGTTTCATGAAGAGCGGCCTGTCGAGCTCCAGACATGAGCAAAACAACCTGCAAGTGCATGTTTTCCTTGTGAATGAATTCCACAAGATAGGAGCCATCTTGTGACCGCCTATGCTTGCAAGCTTAGTGCCATCCACGCAGCGCCTGCACGCACACACACACACGCACGCACACCACACACAACTCATGTCAACCCCCCCAGCCCAGCCCCCGTGGAAAAAGTTTTACGAAGGGCAGCTTGGCAAAATGACACCCCGCGTCCCGGCAGCGTGCCTCGGGGCCGCTGCACGTCGTTCCCCCGTAAGAAAAAGCTTTTCCACGTACTTGAACGATCTCCCCCTCCGCGCTGATAGTGGCTCCTGCTTTGGAGAACCGTCCTTGCAAGCCAGTCGTGTAAGTAGTATAATCTCCATTGGGACTGGACTCGAACAGAACCACTTCCACAAAGGCAGTATCCTTGGCGAAAACGGTACCAAGAGAAGCGGCGACCACCGCCACGATCACCAGGACCACCGAGTCGGGTACACGATCTGAGCTTCTCCTTGGTAAAATCATCATCTTGCCGGCTGGATCTGCGCTGATCGGGACATAATTTCACACGGATTAATTAATAGGGTGAAGGTAACTGAAGTCAGGTCTGTGCGCGCTCCGGGTAAGTGTCAAAAGAGTCGGAATTGTGCAATAAAAGCTGAGGCTGGGCTGAAGCGTGTTTATTTCACCACTGCGAGCCTTGTCAATCCCACAGGCTGCAAACGCTCCCTCTCTCCCTATCCCTCTCCCTCTCCCTCTCTCTCTCTCTCTCTCTCCCTCTTTCTTTCTCACCCTCCTCCTCCTCTACAAAGCGGATCTACTTTGATCTCCAAACACGTGATTCTCTCTCTCTCTCTCTCTCTCTTTCTCTCTCTCTCTCTCTCTCTCTCTCTCTACCCAAATGGGTTGTATCCCCACCCACCAATCTTTCTGACCCTCTCCTTTACACTCCCCACTCCCGAGTGCCAGCACTCAGTTAAGGAGGCGCCGCGGGCTTCGCTCCTCGGCGGACTCACATCTTTTTGTCAAAAACGCTTTTCCAGATGTTTCACTTTGAGTTATTTCAGCAGTTGAACAAGTCGCAGGCGCCAAATCTGCAGCCACTGCTGAAACCCCCCTTCTGTCCAGTGACGGGTTTCCTTGACTTTGACGATTTGTTTTCCTGTCGTACCACCTTAAAATAAACTACCCACTTCAGAACGCTTCGTGATTTAACCGGGCTGATTCTTCAATCTGATTCAGGGCTGCTCATCTCCAGGTTAACAATCTTAACCCTTTTTCCTTTTGCACTTTGTTCTAACAGAAATCAGGACGTAGATCGAACATTACAATGGAAAACTCTACTTATAATTACACGTTAACTGTCTGTAGGTATGGTTCATCAGGATTTTAGAGAGATCAATAGACAAACAGGCCCATGTACCTTAGAAACACAAGACCCACAAGATAATATTACTAGACATGATCATTCCATACATAGATTTAGAATATGATGGTCCTAGTCTTTAGTCTTAGTTCAGTTTTTAAATGTTATGATTTTATAACATCAACTTCTATTTCAGAGCATCTCTGGTTGTTGGTTATGTGATTATAAATTTTGTTTGCTTGGTGTAACACTACTTGGCATTAATAAAGTACAGAAGAATCCTATGTGTGTCTGACGGAGGGAAACTGAAAGGAGAGGCCTGATGTGGGCTCTTCCAGGATGACAGCGCATCCACAGGGCAGGAGGGGTCACTGAATGGTTTGATGCTCTGTCCTTCATAGTCACCAGATCTCAACCCAGCTGAACGCCTATGGGAGATTACAGACCGACATGTCAGCGTCTCCGCCACCATCATCAAAGCACCATTGTCAGGGAAAAGCTTTTGGAAGAATTGTGTTCATCTCTCCAGTAGAGTTCAGAGACTCAGAGAGTCAATCCCAAGGTGCAATGAAGCTGTTCTGGAAGCACGTGGTGGCCCAGTTTCTCCTTTCCATTTGTTATCCGTCTGTATATACATGTATCTATTGTTAAATGCCCTTATATCTATTTAGATATGGAAAGAAAAGTCATTTATACACCTTTCATAACAAATAAAATCTTTTGGATCATTTGCTTTTTAGTCATCAGCTACTACACATGGATTTAAGGCTGTTCATTGCACATGTGTCACTGGGCACCGGCCTTTAGACACGGGATCTCCTATCAACCTTTTTGTCATCAGTGCAGACTCATCGAAGTTCATCTCAGTCATTTTATAAACCTAGAATACTTATTAACATGTCATTTGGTATAATTTCTATGTGCACAAATTGGTGCTCGAATGGAATAGTTATAATAAAGAGCAAGTTTATGATTCCTCGTGCATTTACTGATAAACATCAGTGTTATTATCTGCAGGCGATACACCTACAATTTAAACTAACTGTTGCTGTTAGTGCAGATGAAGTTATTTTCAACCATTCTCTGTTCTGCTTTTTACTCTGCACGTGACTGTTTATTATGTGTGCAAATACGTGCACTGTGTCTCAAGGGACACTGAAAAATAAATAAACAGTGTCTTTTCATTCCTATTAAAGAAGATTATTTGAATCTGGTGCAACCATGCATGTGGTCATGATGCTGTGCATGCCCTTCCCTGTTCCTGTTCTTTCATTGCTGTTTTAAAGTGCCCTAGATTTTGTGATTTAGTTCACCTATGTATCTACTTTATATTTCATTTATATAGTGTGACATTCGTGAGGACGGCAAAGTAAGAATTTCACTGTAGAGGGAAACATGTTTCCTCACTGTGCATATGACAATAAACACTTGACTTCTCAGTGTAAGTTAACGGTGACAGTATAGCATTGAGTGCAATTAGTTCTCAGTTTAAAGAAAAAGCTCATTTTTTCACAATATTAATAAACAATAATGAATTAAATTGAATTGAAAAAGGTCTGTTTCCATTAAAATGAAGCTAAATTGTTCCCTTGCTAAGAAAACACCGATGTTTTAAAGCTCCCAAATGAAGTGTGAGCTCTGCTCCAAAAAAGCCCAGAAAACAAGGTCTCATCTTGCTGTCAGCTGTGTGGCAGTGTGATTATGGAAACCAACTGTGAGGACGTTTTGGGTCAAGAATGCAGCTGCCTCTTAAAGAAAGCGTGATGGTCAACATGTGTTCGGACTCTCACAAAAAAAATGTGGAGTGGAAAACAATTCCAGGCTGAAACTTAAGAAGCTCTTCAGCACCTCCAACATGACAATGATTTACAGATCACATTGGGCATCACTCTGTTTTATGAATCCTGATTCACACCACATGTCCCATATTTTTCTTGTGACACTTAACTCGGTTTCTTTTTCTCTCGCCCTCACACACACAGGAAATACAGACACTGAATGCATAAATCCATACATAAATGATTGGGAATTTAATGGCTCAATGCCTGCAAGCTTAATTATGAAGTCAAATTAGATTTACTTTATCAGCTTACTAATGGGCCACAAAATAAGTTAGGGCAACAGGTTGAAGCATTCAGTTCCTCAAAGGTTATGTTTTTACTGCAAGTCTGCCCTCTGCTGGCTGCTACAAGTTTTCAAGAGATTAAATCTGCACCATTACTTTCTTAGTTTCCTTTAACTTATTTAGATTAAATCTTTACATGTTCTAGTTTCTGGATAATGTAAAGACAGTGTGGTGACAGTTTGGCCCTTTAAAGTTGTTTATGGTTTCAAGCCTTATTTTCTCATTTCCTTCCTGATGAATTGTTCCCCCCGTCCATATGTGGTTTTATCCAACAGCAGCTGTGGATCCTCTCCTGACGCTCCGGTCTCTCTCTACACCAGTGTCTAAACTCAGGCCACCCTGAGGAGAATCAGCTGTCCTTCGTATCTAGGCTCAGAGAGAGCGGAGGATGAGAGCGACTTTGAGGGATGACGTCTGGCTCGGCTCTGTGCCACCTCACCCAACAGGCTGTTCAGTCAGGGGATGTCTGTGGGGTTTTTTCTACATGCGCTTGAGAAGGATTCATGGCTAATTTAGGATGTTTCACATAATACCACACAGTTGTACAGTTCTTTCCTCTCTTCTCTTTTAGACAAACACTTTGAAACAAATAAACTATCCTGCACTAGTTTGCTGGTCAGTCAAATGTTTTAAATCAAGATGTGTGACAATACATAGCCCCGGCCTTTTTAATTACAGGGATTTGCTGCTCTTCTCTGTATCACTGTATTTTGTTTAAGTTGTGGACAAAACAAGCAAATTGAAGATCATCTTGAGCTTTAGGGAATTCTTATGGGATTTTTTTCTGACAGCATTTACTTTGTTAATCAAGAATATAATCCTCAAATTAATTAATCAATAATAAAAACAATAGTTAGTTGCAACAAACTTCATTCATCCTGAGTGTGGCAGCGCCAAATCCCCTAATTCATGAGGACTGAGTGTTTCTAAAGGCAATTCAATCATATCTATACTGTCTTTTATTTATGTTGGTGGATGTTTGCTTTGTTTTCATCTGGAGGTCAAAACTGACTGCTTACCGTTATGATACCCATGTTTCTGCTGTTTACTATGTCGTCACATGTCTGTCCAACTTGTTCCTTCAGTCTTTTACAGGTTTTAGTCATGATCCTTTAACCACAATGATACACTACATCTTGTTCCTGACTTCCACTTGCAGTCTGTCACTGTGAATACGAGTTTGTCTTCAACTGTTTTGCCTGGATAGATATGAAATAAACACCAGATTATGGCTTACTGACCTCCATCCTCTATGAACTGTCTCTTTGTTGAAAGGGTGCTATGTTTTAATGAAGAGAGGAGATGATGATGGGGGGGCATTTACATTCAGGCCTCCCAGAGGAGTGCATTACTGCAGCGTATTATTGCATAAGGCATTTAAGGGGCCTC